GACCCAACCCACCTTCGGATCATTTGATCATTGCATAAAGATCTCCCTTTCCAAACAAAATTTTACTGGGTCTCTAATAAATTATAGTTTTGTCTTTATTTTGTTTTTAAAAAGAATAATAAAAGAAAAATTCCATTAAGCATGCTCTAAAAGGCGCAGGTTTGGAAGAGTAAATTAATTACGATGTCGAGAGTCTTGATTTTTGACAGACAGTGAGAACTATCATATATAAAAGAATAAAAATGTAATTGCAACGAACCGAGATATCTTTTTCAGTCCAAACCTTCTTTTCTATTTGACCTGCAATAGACACTATGATATTTAAATCAGTAATAATTGAGTTTACTTTTAAGAATTATGAAAAAATAAGTTTTAGGTTAGTTTCAATTATTTTTTTGAAATGACCTATGAGAGTATTTATAAGTCTTAATGAGATGTCCACGTGATTTATTTAATGAAATAATCAGAGTTTGACGTGTCTCTTCAAACGATAATATCAAGAATAAAAAATTAGAGTCGGACATACTCACTGTAACTATTACGCATTTGGGCGATCCAAAAAAACTGAACTTACATCTTATCTCGATCATTAAAAAAAATAACAATACGTCCAAGTCCAAGGTTCATAACCTCCGACTATCCTTACAAAAAAACAGACCGTGAAAATTTTTAAAGGAACCTATTGATTTCCCACACAACTGTATATCATGTCAACACGATTCGTCCATTCATAATGATTATTTAATTACAAAAGTAAGGGCCATTCGTCCATACATTACTGATTATTTATTATATTAGTAACATGATATCCCTTTCCAAGGAGCAATTTACAACCTGAATTATTCATGGTCCAACCCACACCCACCATCAACCATAAAAATACCACTTCTACCTGCCTGAGCACCATGCATTCGGAAGGGAAAAAAATGGAGATGATTCCTACCAATCTCTTGTTCTGTATTTCCTGGCTTTTCTTTGTTCTTTTTTGCAGGTTGCTCTTGGTGGAGGCTGCGGTGGCTCAAAATACTATGGCCTCCGCCACGATTCCGGTGAATGTGGGAGTGGTTCTTGATCTGGATACGTGGGTTGGGAAGTTAGGGTTGAGTTGCATCAACATGGCCATCTCTGATTTTTATTTCAACCATAGTAACTACAGAACCAGGCTAGTTTTAAATGTAAAAGACTCTGAGGGAGATATTGTTGGGGCTGCCGCTGCTGGTACGGCCTCTTTTTTCCTTTTCTCTCTTTCTTTTGCTTCTTTTTCTTGTAAATATGGTTTAATTTAACGAAGAGTCTAATAATATTTTTTTGTTTTATTTACTATTTTTATATATTTTTAGATTTATCTACTATTTCTTAATTTATTTCAATTTAAATTAATCTATTAATTTTATAAAAAGTTTCATTCCGTTTAGTCAAATTGATATTATCTTTTGTGAATCTTTACGTTTTAAAATTAATTTTGAAATAAAATTAACTTTATGAAGATGGTAAATTCCTTTTCATAGCCTAAGAGACTAGCTTTTATCACATGTTTTAACTTTTCTTTTTTGATAATTTTTTTTTTTTGTAGAAACCATAATTATTGATATATTTTACTAACTTGTATAATCTATTATAAACTATTTTGTTGTTTGGGATTACTTTATTTTAATTTTAAATTAACTTTTTTGTTATTTTTCTTTTAAAACTAATAAAATTTTTTTATATTTGACAATTCTAAAATATTTTACGAATTTATAATCCATTTAAAAAAATAATTTTCTAAATTAAAATAAAATTAAACTAATAATTAATAGACTAATCATTGAATTATATTAAGACGGTGAACACCTAGCCACTTCACTTTGCCTGCTTTGACGAGTTAATATATATTTTTCTTTTTTATTGAACAAAAATAAATTTTGCAATTTAGAACTGCATTCAATTGTTAAATATTAAAATATTAACATTAAGATATATAATTGATGTAGAAGTTATATATTTATAATAAATTAATATATGTTTTAAAATTTTTTTATATTTATTAATTAAAAATTAATTTTAGTTATGAACCAATATTGTTATATGTGATCATTACTAAAAGGTATAATACAATCAAATAGCAAATAGCATGATTTTAAAGTCTCATTAACTAATTAAAATAATTATACACATAACATTAACATTAAAATTAATATTAATTTTTTTATATGAATTAATAGTAAAAAAGTACATTAATCATACACTTAATATAGTAAGAGGACGAGATGAAAAAATCTGTAAATGAAATATCTTGGCATTACCAGCCAATTGCTAATCTGCAGTTAATGCAAGTACATCTAAACTTGAATTAATTTTCTAAACAGCTCTGGACTTGATTAAGAATGTCCAAGTGCAAGCAGTCATAGGACCCAGCAATTCAATGCAAGCAAACTTCATGATAGCCCTCGGAAACAAATCTCAAGTGCCCATCATCTCTTTCTCCGCGACGCGTCCTTTCCTAATTTCCTCAATGAGAAGTCCGTACTTTTTTCGAGCAACCCACAACGATTCATCCCAAGTCAAAGCCATTAGTGCCATTGTCCAAACCTTTCGATGGAGAGAAGCCGTGCCCATATATGTAGACAATGAGTTTGGAGAAGGGATTATACCTTACTTATCCGACGCTTTAGAAGAGGTTAATGCTCGGATTCCTTACCGAAGCGTTATCTCTCCTGGGGCCACTGACGTGGAAATTGAAAAAGAGCTATTTAAGTTAATGTCAATGCAAAGTAGAGTGTTCATCGTTCATATGACCCCAGATCTTGGGTCTCGGGTTTTTGACAAAGCAACAGAGATTGGAATGATGAGTGAAGGATATGTTTGGATAATAACTGATGGGATGACTAATCTTTGGAGTTTGATTCATCATTCTGATCATATGGATTCCATGCAGGGTGTGTTGGGTGTAAGGAATTATGTTCCGAAATCAAAAGAGTTGGAGAATTTTAAGGTAAGATGGAAAAGCAAATTTGTGCAAGATAATCCTAGTATGTTAAATGCTGAATTAGACA